CGTTAGGAAGAACCACCTTCAGAACACGGCCAAGAACCCCGAAAAACCCACAACAACCATCAGGTCCCTTAAGTCTTAGTCTCTAACAACTATACTCTAACAACTACACAACATTGGTTGTCAAAAAATAATCTTCAGAAAACTGTACCTGTTGTTACATCCCATGGCTTCTCAGGGACAGGGGACCTGTGGCTCTTTCTTCAATATCACATTCTTTCTTGTAAACAGCTGCTCTGTTTTTACACCTTTTTTTAAAAAAAAGAAAATGCATTTTGGTGGTAAATCTATGTGTTTATATATAAGCATATGGGATTCTTTGCAAATTGTTTGGGACTTTTTTTAAATGAAAGGCTATAGAAATGTAAGATGATTATCATTAGCATCTGTTCTGAGAGAACAATGATGTGCAATTTCTGACTCTTTCATGTTTCCGTGGGAGGCAATTGCTTCTTTGTATCGGCCGGCAATTTTCCCTCTTGCAGAAGGAGAGTTCCACTTAGAATGGAGACAATAGGAATTGTCATTTGTAGTCTCTCCTTTCAAGCCCAGTTGTTGTCAAAGAGTTTAATTTAACAGATGGATAGACTGGGGAGGGATGAGGTTTACATAGAGAAGAATGCTGCTGGGCTGTGTTCTCTTGCTCCTCTCTTGCAGGCATAGTTCTGGACTCTGGGGATGGTGTCACACATAATGTACCTATCTATGAAGGTTATGCCTTGCCACATGCTATCATGAGACTGGACTTGGCTGGCAGAGATCTCACAGACTATCTTATGAAAATCCTTACAGAGAGAGGCTATTCTTTTGTTACTACGGGTAATTCTCAGCTTTTATACAAGCCATATGTTTACTTTTCTTTTAAGCTACTTTGTTCTGCCACATCCTATGAGATAAATAAGCATTATGTGCAAGCTATCTCTTTCCATTAAAAGCCCACCATTGACCTGTACTGGCATGGTGTTACTAGAAAAAGCCCATAAAAACCAGGCAAACACTGTGCACTTTTGAAAAGCTGTATTTATTTTCTTAATAAAGAGCATAACCCTCTTTATTCTATATTCAGATAAGAAGGTAAAAGACAGGCAATAAAATAAGAGGATATCAATCTCCAGAACCTAGGTTTATTTTTTAAAAGCTAAAATACACCATTTTAATACCTGAGCCCCCTATAAACTAATAATAAATGAATTAATGTAAAGCAATTGCCTCACAATAGACTCAACATATAGAGGGTAAAGCATTATGGAATATCAGAAGTTGTGACTGAGGAGAATTAGAACTTCAGCATCACAGGAAAGCTTGAGGAATGAGCCTTCCACCTTTCTTCCCCTTGGGGAAAGAGTCTCTCCCCCTGCCCCTGTTTTACAAACTCCCCATACACTGTTGTTGTAGGGTTTTTTGGGGGCTGTTTGGCTGTGTTCTGGAGGTTTCTCTTCCTAACGTTTTGATGGTCGGATCCCAAAGGATCTCCTGTATGGAGAATTAGTGCAGGGAAATTGCCTCAGAGGGAGACCACAGCTGCGATACAAGGATATCTGCAAGCAGGATCTGAAGGCCTTAGGAATGGACCTCAACAGATGGGAAACCTTGACGTTTGAGTGTTCAGCCTGGAAGCAGGCAGTGCATATGGCCTCTCCAAATTTGAAGAGACGCTTGTCCAGCAGGCTGAGGGGAAGGGGCAGTCCCGAAACCAGCAAAATCAGGGAGCTGGACGGGGGACAGACTGTGTTTCTCTTCAGTGTGGAAGGGATCATCACTCTTGAATTGGCCTTTTCAGCCACACTAGACTTTGTTCCAAGACCTCCATACAGAGCACCTTATCATAGTCTCTCGAGACTGAAGGATGCCTACTGACACAAGAACACAGACAGAGTAACACAGAGACAGAGTTCTAACTCCTATCCTCTGAAGATGCCAGTCACAGAGACTGGCAACATGTTAGGAAGAAAAACCTTCAGAACATGGCCAAACAGCCTGAAAAACCTACAACAACCATTGGATCCTGGTAGTGAAAGCCTTCGAGAATGCATCCTCATACACTATTCTATCAGTTCTCCTCTCTATCTTCATACTCCTTCACAGACTTAACTATTAGCTGATCTCCCCTAAAAAAATACTAAGCACATTTTTTCCCAACTCAATGGGATTGTCCTAGTCTCTGTCTTCGGTCTTGTTGCCACTTCAGAGAGACCTGCTTTAGGCCTGTTTCTTCCCTACCTAAGCTTCCAATTTTTTCTTGCTATGTGCAGTGGTTCTAGGAGGTCAAACTAGATGGTATAGTTAGTATGTCAAATAAAAGCAGGTCTTTCTTAAGGCATTTTTTAAAAAAAAAAAACACCTAGTATGAGCTTTTGTCATCTCACAAGTTGCAAATCAGTTTGCTTTTGTTTTTTGATTGGTTAAAGGTAAAGGTAAAGGTTCCCCTTGACAATTTTTGTCCAGTCGTGTTCGACTCTAGGGGGCGGAGCTCATCCCCGTTTCCAAGCCATAGAGCCAGCGTTTTGTCTGAAGACTATCTTCCGTGGTCACATGGCCAGTGCGACTTAGACACGGAATGCTGTTACCTTCCCATCGAGGTGGTCCCTATTTATCTACTTGCATTTGCATGCTTTAGAACCGCTAGGTTGGCGGGAGCAGGGACAAGCGACGGGAGCTCACTCCGTCGCGTGGATTCGATCTTACGACTGCTTGGTCTTCTGACCCTGCAGCACAGGCTTCTGTGGTTTAGCCCACAGTGCCACCACGTCCCTACAGAACCACCACATTGGTTATCAGAAGGTAAACATGAGCTTCATTTGCAAGTCTGATTCTTCAGATATTTAGCTGTGAAGGAGCGGTGTGACTGGATAGAAAATACTGTAATAGTAGGAAATCCATCTTTTGCTTAACATGTAATTTGAGCCTAGAATAAGAATGCTATAGATATGAATTGCTTCTAAACAAATGTATGTTAGCCATGTGAACAAGAACGCATGGTAACAGATAGGACATATTGTAATACAATTTTATATATCATAATATTGACCTCATGGTTGAAGAGTGCTTTAGAGAGTGAAGAAAAGGTTAGGGTTCTTTGCACTTTTTTGTAGTAGGAATTCATTTATTATGCATGACAAGAAAGATTAATTTGTTATCCCGTTCAGAGCTAGGAAAAGTTATGATTCCAACAGAGCAAGAGTGGTACGTCAGGAAAATAAATGAATCTAGTGCCTCTATAGTCTTCTTACCAGTCGTTGTTGACGTCTACAGCGGAGCGCGAGATTGTACGAGACATAAAGGAAAAACTCTGCTATGTGGCTCTGGACTTTGAGAATGAAATGGCTACTGCTGCTTCTTCCTCTTCCCTGGAGAAGAGCTATGAACTCCCTGATGGTCAAGTCATCACTATTGGCAATGAACGATTTCGATGCCCTGAAACTCTTTTCCAGCCTTCGTTCATAGGTGAGTGTGGGCTTTCCCCCCTATACCTATGTAGCTTGTCTGAATTAGAGGTCAACAAATTGTTATTTTGTTTGCCTTATTTTATGTGCACTAGGAATCTTGAAATACCACAAATAGCCTCTTAAACCAACAGATGTTATCGTCATGATTATTGCACGGACATTTTACTTTGTGGGCAAGAAAAATGAAATGGTTATGAAAAGAGATGAAATAACTCTTGCACCTGCTTCAGGGACTGGAAATAACTTATTAATTGGGGGAGGATTTCTATGACATGTCATATTTTTTCTGCAAACTGTTTGAGTTTATGGCTGGGTTTGAACATGATTGTGAGTAATCTGGGGAGAAAGGCCAGATTATTCATAAACATGTTGGAACTTGCTCACAGGTTCAAATGGTGAGAAAATGTGAAATGTCAACTAAATTTTCATCCCTTCTCATCCATTTTAACATTACAGTATATTCATTAATTCTTTCGGTTACACAGGGTAAAGTGCCACCCGTAAGATTATTTATTCCTTTGCCTTTTGTATGGAAGCCCTTCTCCCTCAAGGAAGAAGCACCCCCACACTCCTAATGAAGGACTGACTGTATAAGCAGTGGATTCCCTAATTGTTCACCCTAATTGTTTTTAGACTACATTTTCCAGACATCCTTGCCTACATGGGCAATGGCCAGGCCTTTTAAGCAATGTAACATATCTTGGACCACAAGTTTGTGAACCCCTCCTCTATATAGAGATAATAATTTCTTGGACCACTTTTACACAGACTTTAGCATAATTATAAAGTTCTTGCAGAGAGTATAATGAGTGAGTGTAAAGAGGAACCTCATTTTCTTCATCTATTTCAGGTTACAGTGAACAATTTATTTCATACCACAACTATTTCAGGTTACAACAAATGATATCCAATACCTTCCCATGACAGTTGCAGAACTAAAATCTACTGGATAATGTATTTTGAGAAATACCCTTAGAATTTTTGATGTGAAGCAAAATCAACCTCTTAAAGAAGATGCTTTGGAGATGGAAGATTAAACTTAGGTGATTTTCACTGCTTGTCACCAGGGACTTATATCTTTGTAGAATAGCACCAAATTTCTCTTCTGCTGCAGAATAAAATCATCTTGAAGTTAAAGGATAATTTGTTTAATTTGCAATACATGAAATAAAGGGAAAAACAATATGGGGTGCAAGGGAAATTCACATTCAGCCATTCACATACTAAGAAACTTGCCCAAAAAAACCCCAGACATGGGAAGTCTAAAAGAATAATTAATTTTTAATAATAAATCAATAATCAGATTAACTTCTCATTTTTAATTTACCCCACTTTCCATTCCTGCCTTTCATCATATTTAACTTTCAATTTAGATTGGAACTTTGAATTTGTATTTTCTGATTTCCCACATTCCCCTCAGACCATTACTCTCGCTACTGTGTTGACTGGAGTTGTGCCTTCTGGGATATAAGTGGAGAAAAACTGGTTGGCTGCCTGCATGCTTGCCTGCAATGACAAAAGATGGAGTTACCTTGTCCAATGTTATTTTGTTGCTTTGACTGCACTGTGTCTGAGTGTTAGAAGACGGAAAGAGATGGGTGATGGCACTATTGTATTATGCAGAAGCACATGCACTCATTACTCGCAAGGCAGGAAGTGGCATCTCTGGTGTGTTCTCTTGCAGATGGAGCAAGCAACAGACACATAATTTAGCCAATAAGAATTTCAAAAAAACAGCAACAGAGCAAATTTATACAGTATAACACTTCCCCAAAGTAGGTTGACTGTAAGGAACAGAAGAACAATTGACGTAGCAAGGTTGTCCATGCAATGGCAAGGGGTTTGTTTGTTTTCAACCTTGGTCTAAACCCATCACATATGTAATGAGTGTGGGGAAATTGAGAGCTGCAGGGTAATGAAGATAGTGAAGCAGAGCCTTCTCCATGAGTGACATAAACTTGTGTATAGCCTCTCCTGCCCCCCCCCAAAGCACTTTCAACATCTCCAGTATCAGAGCATGGTGTGAGAGACAAAGATTTCTGGAGGAGGTAAATTCTTAACTGATTCATCAATCCTATATGCCTTCCTGTTAAAAACAACAACAACCCTGGATCACGATCATCCTTGTGTTAGTACTGAACTGGGAAATCAACCACAAAACCAACAGCACTACAGATCATTTCTGACTGTCCCCCTACCAATCAAAACTAAAGAGGAAGGCATGGATTCAACTTGTATCCATTTATTCCTATCATGTGTGGCTTACTTAGAAATGCTCAGTTAATTAATTCATGTGATTTCATTTCATTTCAGGGATGGAATCTGCGGGTGTCCATGAAACGACATATAACAGCATAATGAAATGTGACATTGACATCCGCAAGGATCTTTATGCTAACAATGTGCTCTCTGGAGGAACCACCATGTACCCTGGCATTGGGGACCGCATGCAGAAGGAGATTACAGCTTTGGCTCCCAGTACTATGAAGATTAAGGTAAACATCATGTTAAACATTAAAGCAGCTAGCAGTAACAAAATAAAAGTAAAATAAAAATAAATGAAAACATAAAAACAGATTTGAAAATACAACTCAACATAATGATCCAAATTTTCTTACCTAGTTATGCTGGTGTAGCACAAACAGGATAACTTGGGGAGCAAATAAACTAACTATAACCCCAAACTAGAAAATCACCACAGATTTTACCAGTTGCATACTAAATTGTATGACTCAGTGTGCAACTGATAATGTCTACATTGATCCATTAATTTGGAGCAATTTGCTTCCTAAAGTTCTGCCATTTGCATAGTTATGAAATAAAGCTTCAGCTAATATTAGACAAAGTAAGAAGAGCATCCAATGGATTAAAAGTCCATCAGCAAGACCACAGGCGAAAAGCAATGGGCCCATCTAAGTAAAAGGTCTTTGCTGTTTGTGGAAGGAGAACAGAGGGGAGTCTCTCTTGCAGCCAATAAGCTGCAATTAAATGACAACCCTATCGTGCTTTTAGAAGTGGTGACAAAAGATACCAGTTTTGCAAGAGAATGTGACTTTTCCTACTGATGCATCTTGCATTCGGTGTGCTCGGTTTGGTGATTCGTCATTGGAAGCTAAATACAAGCTTCACTGCCTTCACAAGCTTATTTTATTATATTGTTTTTATTTTATCTATTATAGTAGACTTCAGTCTAGATGGGCGGGTTATAAATTGAATGAATGAATGAATGAATGAATGAATGAATGAATGAATGAATGAATGAATGAATGAATGAATGAAATACCAGTACAAGGCTCATTGCTGAAGCATGGACCACTGAGAAGTCTGACTGTAGGACGGAAAACAGATCATGTCCAGGGAATACGCATTACCCATATACAGTAGTCTTGTTTGACTTTGAACACTTCTTCACCTCACACTAAACGTATCTCCAAAGCCAACAGGCCCTCCCAGCTTGGCGAGCTGCAGCATTCTGGACTGTCTAACAGTGCTGCCCAGAGCTGGTGTGGTCCAAACCTAAGGTGTTTGGGGTTGGCGGACTTCTTTTCTTTGCCTCTTTTAAGTACCTATTTATCACAGAGTGTGCCAGAGTCAGTTTACAAATATTGCTGCTCTCCTCAAGCCTTTATGAGCAGGCTATAAATCCACATCAGTCAATCAATATATAAACATAAATACCTAATTAAGTAGGGAACAGTTATGCAAATATGGCATGTAGCAGAGGAATGGAGTTAACGTTATTATTCCAATCATTCATATTTGACTTACTTTGCATATAACCTTGCAGTTATTGTAAATGTACAGGCATGGACAGTAGACATGTTACATTGCCTGCATTTTCCAGAGTGAGAATAAATGGGGCTAGACAAATGGAAATGAGACATACTAGCCCTGTTCAGGAATTAAATAACCCAATTTCCCCAACTGTTGTTTGCTTTCACTTTTAAAAATAAATAAATAAAACATAACAAAAGCAATAGAAAAAAAAGGGTCAACATTGATTGATTTTTACTCGTGTGTAGGTTCTGCATGCAAGGAAGAACCCGGATATCCCAAGATTCTTGCTTGTAGGAGGAAACCTGAGCATAAGTCCTCAGGTTGCTGAGCTATTCTGTGAAGATAGTGACCACGCAGGGGACAGAGCAGTGTGCTCCTTTTTAAGCATCTTGAGAACTGGGTACTCTTAAAACCTGAGCAGGGTCATTGTCACCTGATTAATGCATCCTCTCCTTCACTTAACTTTTGTTCTAGATGATTGCACCTCCAGAACGTAAATACTCAGTCTGGATTGGGGGCTCCATATTGGCTTCTCTGTCGACCTTCCAGCAAATGTGGATCAGCAAAGATGAATATGAAGAAGCTGGTCCCTCCATTGTCCATCGCAAATGCTTTTGAAAACTGCAATACATTGTAAGGTATATCTGATGATGTCTCTTCAGTTTTTCTTTAGGAAGAATTGGATGCATTAAGCTTTCTCCACTGCTTATTCTGAAAGCAAATTAGAAGGTTATGTTGACTTGAATATATGTAGTCATTTCTGGAATATATGTAGTCATTCAGGAGGGCCTGGCATGCTATGGTCCATGAGATCATGAAGAGTCAGACACGACTTAACGACTAAGCAACAATAGTCATTTCTGGACACCTGCAATATGCCTCAGATTCTCCATTCAAATGACAGGGGCCTTCAGCATTTACAGCAACCAAAGCATGCAGTTTAGTAATTTTTCAAGGATTTTGTTTTGTTTTGTTAACATCCACATGGAAATTCCAAATATTGTTGAAGAGTGGATATCATATGTCACCATCCATAATAGAAGGGAAAATACACAAAAATAGTAGCAAAATTGAAATAAGATGTTTAATGTGATATATAAGATCCAAGGGATTCTGTTTGACAACTCATTTTGTGTTTTTTTTTCAAAAACCCTATGACTAAAGCAGAATTTTTGTGACCTTTCCTTGGCCAAGTGAAATCTCTGTGTAGAGATTTTGATTAAGTTTGTCTTCGCTAAAGCCAGAATTCTAACTATTTCATCACAGCCTATTTTTTGGCCTTTCAATTTATATTGAAAGTAATGAATAAAGCATTTGCTATTGAAGATACTAGGACTTTTCCACTTGGTAGACTGAGATCATCCACTGGTGGCCCGTTTTTGTTATGAGAAAATCAACGTGGGAATTTTTCTCCCATTGGTAATTCTCTCTGTTGTAAGCAGGAATAAAAGAAACTTCTCTGGCCCAAGAAATATGCTTGTGGTTAAGGGAGGCCACATGCTAGAAATGGCAGGTGTTAAAGATCAAGTGGATGTAGTCAGAAGTAAAATGGTGGGGCCGGGATGGAATCCTCTGTCAAGTCCGTATGCATTGCTCACAGACATATACACACACCTGTACACATGCATGATTTCACATGTGTGTATGCATTCACACACCCACAGGACTCGTCTTTTCATAAAACAGAGTGAACCCTGTGCCTCAGAGTAGGAGAAGTGGTGCATTGTACAGAGACATACAGAAAGAGAGCTCCTGTTACTTTTTGCAGTGGATGACCAAGTGGAACAGATGCGCCAAACAGGATTTGCCACAGAGGAAAGGTTGGGGCCCTTGGGCTGTTTGGCAAGTGCCATAGGGGGCAAATGGTTGGCAAGTCTCCTTAGAGCAACTACTCAACCATGTTGGTTGCTCTCCAGTGTCATTAAGATTAACAGCTTGGTAAGGATTTCAAACATAGACTCCCTATTTCTAGCACAGCCCTTTAAACACCATGCCATACTGGCTTCCAGGATGGTACAAGTGTGGTGTCGTTACCTTTTTAGCAGAATGCCTATGAGCTCTCTCCACCTGCTTCATAAGTTATCTGCTTAATTCACTCAACAAAGGCCTGAATCCAGCTGGTATTATTGATGAGAGCTGATCCACTGAATCAGTGGAATTGTACTGATTCACAGTTCAATAGCTGATTCAACAAATATGTTCTAATTGCCACAACCAACTTTTTTTAAAAAAAAAGTCTTGCTTTTTTGTAGTGTTCTGCATATGATGTATATGTCAAACCAATATACACACACGCCAAAGCCCCATGGAATTTGGAATGACCTATTTCAAGGTACATTGTGTAGAGGACTACAGTCTAATTTTTAATTAACCTTCTGATGCTGCCCTTGTTAGGCAAAGGTAATGGTTACTAAATAAGAAACGATCCTTTTAAATATTCTATCATAATTATTGGGGGTTTCAATTAACATGCAATTAACCATGAAATGCTAATGAGACTTGCATTAACTGCATAGCAACTGGCTTATCTATTAAACAGATATGAATAAACAACCATAACAGTCTGCTTTAATTTGTTTATGAAAATCGTGGGGGTAAATTCAAATGGAGTGTTAACAAAAAGCCATTCTGAAACAAATTTTGCAGCAAACTGAATTGGCATGGGATTTGAGTAATGTCCCCAAACTCAAGCATGCTAACTAAATTGAGACCATCTATAAGCAAATAACATTGTATTTATCATTCTCTAAATACCAAAGAAGATCACAAACAAACAAGACTTCTTTTTACTGGAAATATATTTATAGATTGAGAAATAATGCACATATACTGTACAAATTCATGTTAACTGTTTACAGGTGAAATAGGTCTATACAGTTAACACGGAGAAGACTGAGAAGTGATGGCGCAAGTAAAATTTTGGCTGCTGCAAAGGATGGGTCCCAAACCCCTTGACTGAAATTACAAGGGAGATTTTGCCTAAAGATTAGAAAGAACATCCTAATGAAGAGAGTTCTTTTCATCAGGAACTGGAACGGATGGTCTTAGAAAGCAAATGACTTTCATTTGGTCAAGGTTAATAAGCAGGCTTGATGGCCACTTGCCAGGGATGCTTTAGCTGTGGATTTCCTGCTAGTAACTAGATGTTGGGACTAGATCAGTGATTCTTAACCTTGGGCTACTCAGGTGTTTTTGATCTGCAACTCCCAGAAACCCCAGCCAGCACAGTGGGTGGTAAAGGCTTCTGGGAGTTGCAGTCCAAAAACACCTGAGTAACCCAAGGTTAAGAACCACTGGACTAGATGACACATAGAATCCCTTCCAACTCCATAGTTCTATAATTCTGCTTGATTGGAGAAGAAGCTATTTTGAAAGTGAAGCATTCGTATCAAATATCATGTTCTTTCTTTTACTCCTGCAAAATAGCCCTTACCCTAGTTTCTTACATACTGTAGGTTGGTAGCTGCAAAATAGCCCTTATCCTAGTTTCTTACATACTGTAGGTTGGTAGAGTGTTATTGTTGTTGTTCATTTAAACCAACTTATGTCAGCAAGAAATTTAAATGTTAAATCATATTCTCTTAGTCAGCATAGAACTCCCCATTTAAACCAGTTTATGTCAGCAAGAAATTTAAACGTTAAGTCATATTCTCTTAGTCAGCATAGAACTCCCCACAAACTAGCCCTCATTGGGGAATTCTTACCTGAAAATATCTCTTTCTCTCTCTTTTCTCACGCTCAGCAGCAACGTAAGTTCTAAATGCCAGAAACTATATTCTCGGAAACACACACCAGCATGGGAGCATTTCATATTAATTGCCTACTAATATTTTTAGCTTGGTATCATTCATTTGTGTCATGCTGGTGACAAATGGATGTAGTTTATCCAATAGCAGAGATAGTGTTGTATTACTGGGTTTTTTTTCCTGCTGTTGCTTTATGGCCACAAGGCCTTTCCAGAGAAGTAGTGTAGATCAACCCTGAGAAGTACTTACGGTACACAGATACTACACAAACCATTTTAAATGCTTAGAGAATAAATTGGCCATCTTCATCAAGCACTAATCATTTCAACTCAAGTCCATTCATCTGTTTTTATTTCCTAATAATAATTCTTAGCATCACAGTGTGCATACATACATCAAAAGTTTATCATTTGCATCTTCAATTTTTCCATGTAATTTAAATCATTAAAAAAACCAACAGCACCCCACATGATTATTATTTTCCTTTGCCATGTATTAATTTCAGGCCTGGAGTGATGAATCCACCATGAGGCACATTTTTCACAAGTTAATTTTGGAAGGACACATGCCAGTTGCCCCAAGGAATGAATAAAGGGGTCAAATGAGCTGCTGAGCATTGCATTGCCCCACAGGGTGCCAACATGCATCAGCAACTGTGCTCTGAATTATTTACACTGCTTGCTATTATTTATGTGATTGGGAAAATGTTCTTGACTGTGTATGTAGTGGTGACTGTGTTGACTTTAGACATTTCCACGCCTGAACTGAAGTCAAAATTGTCCTTTTTTCCCCCTGCGCCAGATCTCTATTTTAATGTCACACAGAGATAGATACTGTGTGCCTAGAAACTGACCCTCTCTGGAATCCACTGCCTGAAGCTGTTGTTTCCCATTGTTTCTGAACAAGGCTGAAAAATCTGACAAGTTCTCCAATACAGTTTCCCCTTTTAAAAGGCATGTGGTTAGGTAAAATGACACTCTGACACGAAAAGAGTGAAAAATCAGCAGATGAATACTACCCCATCAAAAGAATCTTTTGGAAATAGTTCAGAAAATGTCATTTTCTGCCCATTCCAGTTGAAATATTGCCAAACATAGTGACCTCAAAATGGAGTCAACTAGATATTAATCTCATGAATATTATTTTCACACTAATACACCACACACTGAATAGTCTAAAATTAATTTTCTGCCCTGCCCTGTTTACCTGCTGAAAAAATATATTGATCATATAAAATGATCATTGACCATACATAACATAACCTTAGAATATAATAAAATTAAATACCCAACCATTTAATCAATAATTATTTAATCATTAAATGTTTACTTCATAAATAAAGCACTAAAATAGATGAAGTTATTTCTACTTCCTTTTAAAGTATATTATTATTTTAAAATTTGATAATCACATTTTCTAAACTGAAGTAAACATTCTTAGGACAGCGAATCCCTCTATTCCATGTGGGTTTTCCAGACAATCCCTTTTTTTCATAAACACTAAAAAGGGAAAATGTTAGCATTGCCTTAAACTGCAGTTAAATCTCCAAGTTTGCGGAGTTATCAGTTTTTGTGCAATTTATGGAATAGATAAAGTGCTGGCTGTTGTCTCTATTTTGTACCTTCTGGAAAATACTCGAGTTTGCTAAAATTGAAACAAATATCAATTGTAGCACTTCCAGCTGCATTATTTTATCTTCCTTTTGGCTTGTGTGATCATATATGTCTGTCCTTTGGAGCAGTTGCTGGGCATGTCTAGTTGACATCACTGATGATGTGCAGAGTGGGGTGTGCAAGTTAATCCTACTCTTTTTACCTGCCTTCTGTTCACACTGCTAAGAACCAGAACTCCAAGGAAAATTGTAAATTATATTTTTTCAAATATATAATTTGCAAAATCAGTGTTATAGCACAGCGCTATTGCACTAAACTGACACAGTATTGATTCAAATGCTTACCATGTCTTAAAAAGAGAGAAAGAGGATCTGAATGCTGGTGAAATGGGTGGGTAAGAGGGTGATGATAATGACAGAGGATGGTGGGAGACAAATCCAGGAAATCCATTTTCTGGGATAATTAAACATTTCTGTGTGAATAGTGACAGTGATTTAATTACCAGAGTGAGATATAGAGAAGTTCATATCAACGCATGACAAACTTCTGGGTGTTCACATCCCAAGTGTTAGCAGGCTGTGTTCCCAACAGTGATGCCTCAAAATGAAACCCTGATCATGAGGCTAACCCTCAACACATTAGAATTTTTACTGGTGTCACAAAAACAACAGCCCACATGTCATTTAATGCATCTTTGTTTTTATCTTTGGCCTAAGTGTTAAGGGCTCTTGAGAATATAGCCTTTGCTGAGTCACCATTTATGCTCTTCAAAGTGTTTTTTTTTTTAAAAAACACAAGAATCTTTAGAGGCCAATACACTTCATAAGATCACAGCAGGATTTTGGTGAATTGGCTCCAGTAGGTGACATACCATATGACACAGCATCTTGATGAGAAATAAGAAGTTGGTATTCTTTTCCAAAGACAGCAGGTCAGAATCAGCCAGTCTGAGAAAGGGAGGCAGCTCTGT